AATCACACGAGCCTCTCTCGTTTCTTTTCCTTCTTTTCCTACAAACGCCTGAACGTTTTCCCACTATTCTATAACAGAGTGGAAAAGACGTGGATCGTTGCAAAGGACAACGAACGAGGGAAGGGATCGACGAACGAGCGTCGGTGTAAGCATCATTAGGGAGCATTGTTCGGACAAAGGTATCCCTGCGCCGATGCGATGCGAGTGTATCGTGGAACGAGACGAAGCCCCGCGCGGAAAGCAACGCTGGTTTAATTATCGATCGGTTGATTTTCTCGTTGGAAAAATGTTACGGGAGCGGTGTGACGAGATCGTGGACGTAATTATCGGTGACGTTAGCCTGGATATCCGGCTGGCAGAGGGTTAAGTAGAGAAGAGAGAAAAATTGGCGATACCTCGGGTGATAAAGTTTGTACAGTTGGCGTGTGCTCGGCTTAAAGGGGAATTCTTGTAGCTGCGCCGAGTATCGACGTTGACACTTTTCACCCGATAAACTGGTTGCAGGATCGACGTCGCGGAACGGCTTACTCGTGTCCCGAGATACACCGCGTCTCTCTCCGAGTGAGAACCACGGCTTGTCTAGGTATGTAGGTTGGCAAATGCCAATACGATCGTGGGCAGACTCTATCGAACCGACTCGTTCTCTACGTTCTAATTACAGACTGTTCTACGCTCCGAGACCTATCTCAGTTCTCGCGTGTATACGTGTACGTACGCTGGACATTCGCGATTCGTCGTGGAGGTGAAGGGTTCGGCTCGGTGGTACGACAAACGAAAGAAAAACGCGAGGAAAGGAGGCCGCTCGAAATGGACGATCGCTTCGACGAACGTGTAACGAGATTGCACGTTCTCGAGAGGGGAGAGCGGCGACCGTTTTCACGGAACAGAAGATCGCGATAATTGGGGGTTATTTAAACTTTCATTTACCAGAGGGTTCTAATTTCCTTGACAACATCATCGCGATAATAACAGTGTCGCAATCGTTGTCGCCGTATATATCCGATTTACAGTTGCACCATTACCTCGGCCAGAGATTGCGAGTTTCTGTTTCCAGGAACGTAAAAGTTCCTTCGATGGTAAAATCTCGGAAAACCTGCGACAACGGAGCGGAACGCGGTCGTGGACAAAGCTAAACAGCCCGACGTAGGCTAGGTTTGCGTAATCTCTGTAAACGCTAGGAAACAAGTTCAGAAGTCGAGGAAGTGAACGCAGCCCGAGTGCATTGCTATGCACGTGATCTCGATTTCCCTGGCCGAGCTCAGGTCGAACTCCCACGCTCCGTTGTTACCGCGCGCGTATGCACGACTCTCGTAAAGATCGCGCGTTCCTCGAGAACAAATCGCATCCACCTTCGAGTGGCTAATTTGTCTTGGAAATACGATGCAGCGTGCTTGAGCAAGCCTCGTGATATTGCGTTCGATCTCCTTCGAGAGATCTTGATTTCGAGCTGATCTTTTGCGCAACCGTAACACGACGATGGATTAAATCGTAGAAAGTATACGAACGACGCTCGAGTGACGAGCAGATTCTCCAGCGAGCACCACCAACCGGGGTAGCACCTGCGCGTTCGTTACGCTGTCGAACAAATTCCCCGTAATAGCGAGGAGGCAGCTGCCTCCAACAGGTGCTGTTATAAATCGAGGCCGAAATTTTACGCGCGGCCGTTACGACCAAACTCCTCTTCAACTTCTCGTCCGATGGGGAGATAAAACGATTCGGTCTATCGGTGGAAGCACGGAGGAGAGACCGAGGGAAACTTTCGCGAGAGCAGCTCGCGAGACTGCCGTGACATTAATAGGGTCAGCGAATTGCTCGAGCGAGATTAATGTCCGAGTTCGGTGCGTCGATAAGGCCTCGCGATGCGGTGAATTTTAAGTAGCTCCGATCCGAACCAACTGAACACGCTAACCTAGGGGAAACGAGGTTGATTCTAACGAGAAGTCTCGGCCTGTCCATGCTCGGATTTCTCCGCGAAAATACAAAGTGCCGACTGGTTGGAGGTTAATTACGTGGGCGCATTAAGTCCTGACCTTGAAAGGTATCGGCTTTCGTCTAGGTGAGCGTGACTGTCGTCGACGTTTCCCCATTGGCGTAACTCGAATTTGTCCAAGGAACGCCGCGCCGTTTCATTCGCGTCGATGGTTTCGAGAGAGAGAGACGTCCGTCTATGGAGCTTGATCAACGGGTTCTGACGAGAAATCACGGGACCTGCTCACGTTCGAGCTTCGGATTTCTCCGCGGAAATGTAAAGTAGCTGGTGCTGGTACATTCGTCTCGATTCTTCTAACGAGCTCGACGCGTCTTTCGGTTTCCCGTTAACGAGGAATCGAGGAAATGACATAGCACGGCCTGGCCCGGCCCGTTCACAGTTTTATTTTCTCTTTTCACCGGTAGCCTAGCGATCGAGGAATTACTCGGGGAAGGAACAACTGGTAGCTAATGGCGACCGCAATTGGTTCGCGTACCACTGGTTCTCGCAAACGACGAACCTTGAAGCTCCAGCTCCACCTTCTCTACCAGCTAAACTAGCACCAACCTACGATAAGATAATAAATTCTTTTCTCTTCTAAACGCTTCCGTATTGTATATTAAACTTAGGTAAGAAGTGGATGCGCAATTATGTAGGTTGTGCTGTAGCGGCGTGGCGCGGCGCGGCGAGGCGATTTGCCGGTAATTTTTAAGGAAAACTGGTAGCCCGAGTGAGAAAGGAAGGCGAATGGGCAGCCAGCAAGAAGCCATCTCCGCGGAGGTCTAATCGCGAGGCGCGCGTTAAAGCGACACGCTCGCAATTCTATGGCCACCTTCCGAGAAGGAAAGGAAAGAACGGAATATCTCCAAGGAAGCAATTGGCCCGAGAGATGGCAAGAGAAGAGACGTAGCGGCGAACCCCCCAAAGCGGAAGGCGAAGCCGATCGAGGCGAAACGTCGTGTGGTTTCTTTGTTTTCCAGAAGGCAACGACATCGTCGTCGAGCCGAGCAACAACGGTTCGAATTTACGAGCTCCTCGAACCACGAACAGCGCCAAACGTCGCCGCGCCGCTCGAAAGTGTACCGAGCAGGAAACTGGACCGTTCCACTGTCGTGCTCCTCTGGTTAAAGAAACTCGCGGTCGCTTCCTGCTCTTCAATCTCCACCACCGATACCGCCACCGTTGACAGACAGACGGACCGACAGCGTTAGCCTCGAGGTTAGCGTCTCCGAGTTAATGAGAAACCAGAAGCGCAACCTTCCCTCTTATATGCACGTACCATCCAATAGTAGTCGAGTCTATTAGGATCGTCGAATCGTGCGGAATATAAACGAATAATTTACTTCGTGGCTGGCTGGCTTGGCTGCCTCGTTGAAAATGTCGTGGGATCGCTCGTCGACGATTTCGCGAACGGTCGCGTTCGATACTTCACCACGCAACAATACTTTCACTATGTTTGTTTCTCTTAAACAGCGGCAGCTACGTTATTATTTCTCCGGCGAGTCTCTCTCTCTCTCGTATCCGTGGCGAGACTAAAAGCGTAGTTAGGACTTGGAGGAAACGCTGGTTGCCGGTGAAACCGTAGGAACAAACGACCAGGTCCGTTCTGCAACCCTGTCTCGTTCCATCTTTCGTTTCACGGATGATCCAGTTAGCGAAGATCGAGTCTCGAGTGGTTTCTCGCCGTGGAACAAAGTTCTAACCGAGGCTGAAGGTGGCTGTAGTGCCGGCAACTCCATAGAAAGTATACACTTTCACCGTGGTATACCTCCGGTTCGGCGTCTCTTTGGAGCTTTTGGTTGGGAGGTTGGTTCGCGGTGCGTTCCCCGTTGGATGTTTCGGTGGTCTCTGAAACGAACGACATGTCCTACGCGACGCGACGTTTCTTCCCACGACCACGGGGATCAACCGCAAAGCTCGGAATGGCGTGTTACTTAAAACTACCGAGCGTAGACCCATTAAAACTGTATACGTAGCTTGGTGGAAGATCAACGACCCAGGGTCAAGAGGAGAGGGTAGGGGAGTCGAGTAGAGCGTTAAGTGCTCGTTGCCCTCTGGTGTAGCGTGGCGCGGACCAGGAAATCGGTGCTAACACCGGGATCAGAGTCTACGTCGTGCACAACACAACCTTGTGTATCCGTCGTCCTTTAAGGCATCCATTAGCTTCCTAACTACTAAACACACCGGTCGGTCCGACGACCCCAAGCGATCCTACCCACTCTGCGAGGATACTTCTTCCACCTCTTCCACGGGAGCTTCGCCTTTTTATTTTTCCTCTTACTCTTCCGTCTTCTTCTGCTCCCTCTTCCACCTCTCGTTCGCCTTCCTTCGTCTTCTCGCCGGCCTCCTCTTCGTTCCGTCCTCTTCGTTCCGATACCGACGTTCGAGGGTCATCGACATTCGCGGCTGGAGACATTGTACGCAACGCTCGTTGCTCAGTTATCGCGGTTACGAGCTTGCCCACCAGTATACGCCA